CAGGGGTGGGGAAAAAGAAAAGAAAATTGACCAGGGAGAGTAACTATACAACTTAATCCAGAGAGAGAGAGAGAGAGAGAGAGAGAGAGAGAGAGAGGAGAATAAAGAAGAAGGAGGTACAGAAGAGGTTTAAAACAAATAGATTAATTACGTCTGCTTAAACAAACCAACGGCCAGTGTAACCAGACTAGAGAAGGGAAGAAATAAGAAGACGAAAAGAAAAAAATATATATATGTAATAAGAACTGACCAAGAATTAAGTCAGAAGATGCAAAACCACTGGACTGATATCTGATGGTGCCTTGGAACCCGTGGCTGTGCTGGTCTGGAGGAGGGGCCGCTGGGCGAGGTCAGTGTCAGTCTTGCTCTGGTAGATACACAGTTACCAGGCATGGAGGGGTGTGGTTTGGTGCAGGCAGGTTCTGCCTCCACTGCCAGCCCCCTGTCTGTTCCTGAAGCCCCACTTTGTTGGTGATGGGAAGAAAAATGGTGACACCCCAGTCTCTCCTCCCCGGACTGGGTGACCCAAACCACTCTGTTCAGGCCGTCCTCACAGTGCTGTGCAGGTGTGAGCAGGCCCATTAGTTCCACTCCACAGTCTCCCATTCCTCCCAGATGCTGGGATGCAAACCCCAATGTCTTAAAGGATCCCGCCCCACACACCCTGGTTCCGGGATAGTGCCACTCCGCCCAGCCGGCCAAGGGTCTCTGGCTGGTGGGTGCAAGCAGGGTCTTTTGTCCTTGGAACAGCTCTTTGCCTTCTTCCACTGCCCTCCAGGGAGGGGATTGCTTTCTCCGACCGACCGCAAACGCGCCTCTGAGCTGGCTACTGAGCCCAGGGCTGGTTCCCCTCCCCGCAGGCATGTGAACTGGGCAGCTGGCTCCAGTCTGGGGAAAACCCCAAAGTTAGAAATTGGATCTTTTTCTGTTTTTTTCCGATCCCCGGTCCGTGGTTTTTCTCTTGTCCAAATACAATCCTACACTTCCACAGCTATCTTTCTCTTCCTTTTGTCTCTGCACAAAAGGGGATCCCTGCCCTCCATTCCTACACCACTTGTCTTATCTCTCCCAGTTCACAATCATGCACCTATGGCCCACCAAGTTGTCCCCGTGGGCCCCTAGAGACGTTTCTGTCACTCTTCAGCCCAGATTCTTGGAATTCCCAATCTTCTAGCCTCAATACTACTGCGTTTGAGGGACAAGAGAACTTCGGGTCCCCCTACTTCTCTGCCCACTGTTGACCTGCCCACCTTTCCCTCTTCTTTTAAATTGGGTTTTATCTTCTCACTGTTGAGTTTTAAGAATCCTTTCTATATTCTGGATGCAGGTCCTTTATCAGATGTATGATTTACAAATATTTTCTCCCAGTGTATGTTTTGTCTTTTTGTTTTCTTAATGATGTCTTTTGAAAATCAAAAACATTTAATTTTGAGGAAGTCAAATTTAAAATTCTTTTTACACTGATTTATTTTTGAGAGACAAAGAGACAGAGCACAAGTGGGGAGGGGCGGAGAGAGAAGGAGACAGAATCTGAGGCAGGCTCCATGCTCTGAGCTGTCAGCACAGAGCCTGACGTGAGGCTCGAACTCACAAACCATGAGATATGACCTGAGCTGATTTCGGACGCTCAACTGACTGAGCCACCCAGGCGCCCCAAGGAAATCAAATTTAAATGTGTGTGTTTGTGTGTGTGTGTGTGTGTGTGTGTGTGTGTGTGTTTGATATCATATCAAAGAGATGTTCATCTAGCTACAGATTTTTCTAAGTTGTCTTCTACAAGTGTATATGGTTTTAGCTCTTATAATTAGGTTATGCATTTGGAGTTAATTTTTTGTGCACAGGGTGAGGTAAATGTCTAACTTTATATTATTATTAGTTATTAATTTTTGCATTTAGATGTCCAATGGTTACAGCACTATTTGTTGAAAAGAATGCTTTCTCCATTGAATTGTTTTGGAAGGGCATTCCATTGATGGGCTAAATGGAAGCTTTTGGAATGTCTTCTCCCAACCAAGATAGTAAACCAGAAACCAAACTACCTCCCTGGGGAGAACTGCAGAGATTAATGTCACCAGGAAAGACTTGAAAGATGCAGGGGTGGTGATGGCTCCCATAACTCCATTTACCTCACCATAAGTCAGGTGAGTGTTGGAGAATGATTCTGGACTGTCTTACACTAATCAGGTGGTCACCACTAGCAGCTGCTGTCCAATTGCAGCTCCTGTCCCAGATGAGTACGTTTACTCAAACAAATCAACACACCTCCCTTGGCAATTGATATGTAGCTACTCCATGGCTAATGCACTTTTTTCCATACTAATTTTCAAGGGCTACTGGAAGCAGTTTACTTCTACCTGGCAAAGCCAACAGTATCCTGCAGAGCTATGTCAATTCTCTTGATCTCTGTCATATAGTTCACAGAGACCGTATTAATCCTGATATTCTATAGAGCATCACCCCGGTCTGCTTTATGGACAACATCATGTTGATTGGATCTGATGAGCAGAAAGTGGCAAGTAGTTAAGATGCCTTAGGAAGATGAAAGTGAACTAGAACATGGCAAATAAACCCCACAAGAGTTCAGGGGCCCCTCCCTTCAGGGAATTTCCTAGGTATTCAGAGGTCTGGAGAACATCGAGATATCCCCTCCTTGGGAGGTTAATAAAAGGCAAGCTGTTAAAACTCCCACCACTTAACAATGTAAAAACAGGCACAATGTGGGAAAACACGTATCATGCAAACATGAACCAAAGATATCTGAGTAGCTATGTTAATAGCAGACAAAGAATATGATGTTTAAATGGGTATCAACTTTGTAATTAAAAATTCAACTTTACATATATGCATTAGACTTTTTGATTCTATGTTACATTTCACAACTAAAACAATTTTTAAAAGTGCTCTGGAAAGTAGATCAGGAAATCTTCCCTTAAGAAAGTGAATTGGGAGCAGGGCACCTGGGTGGCTCAGTTGATTAAGCATCCAACTTTGGCTCAGGTCATGATCTCAGTTTGTGAGTTTGAGCCCTACGTCAGGCTCTGTGCTGACAGCTCAGAGCCTGGAGCCTGCTTCGAGTTCTGTGTCTCCCTCTCTCTTTGCCCCTCCCTTGCTCACACTCTGTCTCTCTGTCTCTCTCTCGAAAATAAACATTAAAAAATATTTTTTTAAGTGAATTGGGTTGTTTGGTGAGGTCAAAGATTTTTAAACACACACACACATACACACACACACACACACACAGAAAGAGAGATACAATTAAGTGCACAAAAAATATTGAATTTATTTTATTTGGTAACAATGAAAATCACAATATTTTTTGTTTAAAATTTTAAAGGGTAAATAAAAAGCTAGACTCAGTGTAGCTCAATCAGTAGATTTTGACAACCTCACCCCACTGTTTCTAGCTGGATGGTGTTCTAATTGCCTGCCCCACCTAAACACATTTGCACATATTTGCATGGGTTACTCTCTATAGTGGGCAATATAAAGCCTCCCTTTTGTCTCCCTGGCAGGCTCTCCTTGGCTACTCCTTTCCAACAGCCTTGATCTGGCTGTATCTGGCTGTATCTCCTTCTCTCCCATTGCTACCTCAGCCCTCACCTATTCAGAGTTGCTAAGGAAAGGTAGGCAGCACATCTCAGGACCCCAGCTTAGGAAAAGGAACTCTGGTCATGGGGATCTTTCAGTACCATGGAGAGTAGGGGGGGCGCGGGGGGTGGGGGTTGCTTTTAGCTGATGGCAAAGGGGCTGTGATAAAATAAATGGCAATTAACTTTTGTGTTCTCTGTACTTCTAACACTGGTTCAGTGTCCATAAGCCATTTCCCATACAGTTCAGCCTTTAGAGGGCGAATTCCCAGTATGTAGCCAGCACTCAATAAATGTGAGTTGGCACTCATGCCACGCAATTATCATCCTACTGTTTGAAATACTCAGAGGATTATATAAGGAAGATATACAAAGACCACTGAGTACACGAAAAGATGCTCACCATCATTAGTCATTAGGGGAATGCAAATTAAAACCACAATGAGATACTACTTCACACTTACTGGGATGGCATCATTGCAAACAAAAGAACATAAAATGAAAATGTCAAGCGTTGGCAAGGATGTGGAGAAACGGAGCCCTCGAGCGTTGGTGTGAAAATGTCAACTGGTACAGCCGTGGAGAGCAGTTTGCCACTTCCTCGAGAAGTTAAACACAGAACTGCCATATGACCCAGCAATTCCACTCCTAGGTATATACCCCCAGAGAATTCCAAGCAAGTCCTCAAGCAAAAGCTTGTACTTGAATACAAGCAGCCCTGGGTATCATAGGCAGAAAGTGGAAACAACCCAAATGTCCATCAATGGATAAGTGTATATAGAAAATGTGGTATATTTATAGAATGGCGTTTTATTCATCCATAACAAGGAATAGAATACTTACACATGCTTATACAACATGTATGAATCTTAAGAACAGGCTAAATGAAAGAAGCCAGACACAAAGACCAGATATACAATTCCGTTTATAAGAAACTTCTAGAACAGGCAAATTCATAGATTAGTGTTTGCAAGGGGCTGAGGGAAGAGGGAAAGGATGGCTGCTTCATGGGTAGAGGGTTTCCTTCTGGAGGGATGAGAATGTTCCAAAGTTAGAAAGCGATGGTGGTCACACAACACTGTGAATGTGTTTAATGCCACTGAATCGTGTACTTTAAAACGGTTAAAATGGTAAACTTTACGTTACGTATATATTGTTACCAAAAAAGACAAACACATAAACTATTCAGAGGGACTACTGGCCGGAATCTCCCAGAATGAGCCTGGCTTGCTGTCATGACACCCTGCTTCTCCCGCCGTGATCCCAGGGTCTTTTCTTTGATATTCTGGGTCACCCCTCCTCCCCCAGGAACCTGATGGTGGCTTCCTCATCATCCAGGCTGGGGACCAGGTGAGTGCGTAATCCCAGCCTGCAAGACTCTATCTATTCTCCCTGATTCCCGGCCCTTTGCAGATACTGGCTGAAATACGAGTTCCATCTGGTGGAGAATCAGATGGGGATAGTGAATACGTCTTTTTTGAAGGCTGTTGTCCAGAGTGTCAGCACCAACATCTCAGAAGACCTGCTCTTCTCTCTGACGCCCTCCCAGGTGAAGAGGCCCCTGTCCCTGTTGGCTGTTTCTGACTCCATTTCCCTCAGACGTATTTTTCCAGAATTCTGAGAGACTCCTGGTCTGTGCTTGGTGCCCACCAAACTGTATCCCTCGCCTGTCCCATTTGGTAGTGCTCTGCCACTTTGCTAATGGGTGCTAGGGAGTTACTGGGATGAGTGGATCCTGGTGACAGATTACCCAGGGTGGAGGAAGACGCATAGGGAAGATCATCAAATTGAGAGTCAGGGCATCTGGGTTCCAGTCCTGGGCTCCCCACCCCCTCCCTAGGTGTCTTCCAGGAAACCCCTTCCTGTCTCTGGGCCCCGGAGCCCTCATCTGTAAGATGAACACTAAGGCTCCTCCAAGGTCAGAGGTTCCCTTCTGCCCTCCCTCCCAGGGAACACATTTGAAACCAGGTAAAGGCACACCTCACCATACTGCAAAGGGCCCCACAGGCAGACTCCAGATTTACACTGGTCTGGATTCAAATCCCGGCGCTGCCCTTTACCAGCTAATGTGATACTGAGCTCATGACCGAAATTTTCTGAGCTTTGGTTTCCCCAATCTGTAAAACGGTGACAGTAGTGCCCACTTTCAAGGTTATGGGGGGAGCAAGTGAGATAATGCGCAGGGAGTCCTGTGTGCAGGGACTTCACTCCCTTAAGGAGGGAAGCTGAGGATGATGTTCAGGCAGCAGACAAGTTGGCTATCATCAGGGTACTTCTAGGTCTGTCTGGAAAAGGAGTGATGAAAGAGAAGACCTTTCCCAACCCTTTATTTATGTGACCCAAGCAGCCGAGCCCTCTGCTTGGGGGCACCCGCTGGCCCCAGAGATCACCCCCATGTTCTTTGACAAGGGTCCAGATGGGAAGGACAAAGGTGGGGCTCTCGCCTCCTACCCTTAGCTCCTCCTGTTCCAGTGTCCACGGGGTGCTTTTGAGGCGGGACCAGTTGGGACCCGGCTGCAGCCCAGTGGACCAGTGAGGTCAGAGAATGAACAAATTACCAATGAAATTTAGTATTTTAACCATTCTCAGCTTTTTTAAAAAAAATTTTTTTTTCAACGTTTATTTATTTTTGGGACAGAGAGAGACAGAGCATGAACGGGGGAGGGGCAGAGAGAGAGGGAGACACAGAATCGGAAACAGGCTCCAGGCTCCGAGCCATCAGCCCAGAGCCCGACGCGGGGCTCGAACTCACGGACCGCGAGATCGTGACCTGGCTGAAGTCGGACGCTTAACCGACTGCGCCACCCAGGCGCCCCAACCATTCTCAGCTTTTACCAAATATGTTGTCAGGCAGGGGGGAAATCACATTCTATGTGTTTTGTATTCTCCGCCTCTGCTCTCATGGTCTCCCTTTCTGGGGGACTTTATTCTTTCCAGTTATTCCTTCATCAGAAGCCAGACACCATCACCATAAAACCCTACGTAATTACAAGGGCTGGCAGGAAGCTGGCCGACCCTCCCTCACACTTGTAAACTGAACTTCACCGACTTCTTTGGGCCTGACCCTGACGGGTGGCCACACAGGCAACTTGTTAGCTCCGTTCTCCATATTGGGAAAACTGACGGTCCGTGAGGCTGGGGCTTGTCCAGGGGCTCACAGTCTGGACAGAGCAGAGCTTGCAGTGTGCCTCCAGGTGTCCTGCCTCTCAGAGTGATGCCCTCGGGCACCACCCCTCCACCCAATGCCTCAGTATCCCCTCCCAACTAGGGGAATGGCAAGACGGGTGTCTTGGAACCCTGGGGGAAAGACGGGAGCTGCGGGGTCTGTGGTTACAGGTTCCAAGGCCAGTGACAGAGGAGGAGCATGAGCCCCCCGACAGAGTCCGGCTGCCCCGGAGTCTCTTTGAATCCCTGCAGGACAGCAGGTCGGTGGTCCGGCTGGCCATCACGCTCCTGGACATCGGTCCAGGGAATCTCTTTAAGGTGAGGAGAGGCCTGATGGAGGCTCAGGGCAGCTCAGTGGGTCAGTGCTCCGTTCACCAGGGACCTGTGCCCCAGCTTGCCCTCTCTCGGGTCTTTGCTGTGGGTCCCAACGGGGATGGAGGAGATGATGAGCCTCCGGAGAATGTTTCTAAAGCAGCCCAAGGTCATCCCAGACTTCTGTCCTCGGAGTCTGTGCACTGCAAACTCACACTGGTCACACACACTCAGATGTTTGGACCCCACGCACCAGTGTCCTTGGTTGGACCTGTACGTGTATCCCGAGCATTCATGTCCCCTTGTGTGTCCTTGTGCATGTACAGATGCGCATATCCTTTCAGACTCCTGGTGTGTATGTAATCGCGTGTGCTCCTGTGTGACCGTGTCCACACAAGCGAGGGTACCCAGGTTCTTGCAAATGTGTACCAGGCATGCCTGTCCAGAGGTGTGTAATCCGCTCACGTGTAGACATAGTGCACGATGAGTGCTGCTGTGGGCTGGTGCTCACCCCCCGTAGGCACCCACTGCCCTCCAGTAGGACAGATGGTCTTTCTTCTAGCCCTACGCTCTCCACCTAAGTGGGCAGAGGAGCCCTGGGGCCGGCAATGGAGAGCTGTTGGCCGCATGGTTTTGTAACCGTTTGGCCTGGGGTGTTGGGCTCACTGGGGTCCAGCCTGGGCAGGGGACTACAGGGAGCAGCAGGAGGAAAGTCGCCCATGATCCCTCGGTCCCCTGGTCCCCTAGCCACAGACTTTACTCTCTAGGCAAGGGTGATGGGTCCTGGACGTTCCCAGGAACCCCCACAGCGTTTGGTTGGGACAGCCCCTTCCTAAGCCCAGCTCCCCATCTCCCTCCACAGGGCCCCGAGCTCAGCCTGGAGGACAGCAGCAGCGTGTTGAACAACCGCCTGGTGGGCTTGAGTTTGGGCAATATATCTGTCAGCAGGCTGGCTGAGCCTTTGGAGATCACCTTCTCCCACCAGCGCCCACCCTCTGTGAGCCCCCAGTTCGGGCCTGGCAGCTACTAAGGGGCAGACAGGCGGGTGGTCACCCACAAGCACACAGGCAGACACGCATAGGACTCTGCACCTCCCATCCTTCCACAGCCACCCGGCAGAAGCCGCAAAGACCGTACACACGGCTGTGCCCAGGGACACATGCCACCTGCACACGAATGTCCATTTGACCCCCAGGTCCCCTCCCACTCGTGCTTTTGGGCGTGAACATAGGGCCTGGCAAACCCACCGGTATGCCACCCACATACGTGCTCCCTCAAAGGCACGTGCACACAGACATGCAACCCTCCCACTCACAGCCCCACGCCCCTCACGCGCTGGTCCACGGCACTCCAAATGGTGCGATCCATGGTCCTGTGTGACCCACGGGGTGAGCCTTGCTTTCTACCCAATGCGCACTCAGCGGGGGGTGGGGGGGCACGCTGTCCTCTCCCCACACTCTCCTCGGCCCTCTCTCCTCTCCCAACCGCCCCATGCCTCCACCCTGATGCCCATTCTCTGGTTTCAGAACATGACCTTCAGCTGTGTATTCTGGGATGTGACTAAAGGTAGGCAGGGAGAGTGCGGGCTCCCTTGGCGAGGTGGGGGGCAGAATGCCACCGGCAGGGCCCCTCCCCCTCCCTTCCTTCCTCTCTGTTCCCCTCCCCTCCTCTCAGGTCCCTGCCACTCCCCCATATTCCCATGCACTCTCCTATGTTCTCCTCCCTTCCTCTCCAGGGTCAACAGGAGACTGGTCTTCCACAGGCTGCTCCACAGAGCTCAGCGCCAAGAGGACTGTCTGTCGCTGTGACCACCTGACCTTCTTCGCTTTGCTGCTGGTAACAGCTCACCCGCCCTGATCCCAGCAGTTCTGGAGGCACCGAAGCTGCCTGGCAGGGGCCAGGGGCTTTGGGATGTGTGGGGCCTGGCCTCTGACTGATGCGGTTCCGGTTCTGGGGGTGTTGCCCACAGAGGCCGATCTTGGACCGGGCCACGGTGCAGGCCCTCATTCGCATTTCCCAGGCTGGCTGTGGAGCCTCGATGATCTTCCTGGCCTTCACTGTTCTCCTGTATGCTGCCCTGAGGTGGGTGACCCCCCACCCCCACCCCATGTCTCCCTCTTGTCCGGAAAGTCAGGAGAGGTACAGGCTAGAAAGTACACTGCTTGTGCAGCATTATAGATATCCTCTCCAAACCCTAGTTTCCTCATCTGTAAAATGGGGTTGGGGGTTGAAATGTGTCAGAGTTATTTCAGTTGAAAGTGGCAGAAACTCAAAGTCACTCAAATATAATGGGGAATATGTGGTTCCTGTAAGGCAGCCTTCAGGCACGGTTGGATCCAGGGGCTCAAAAGACTTGCTCTCCCTCTGCTTCTCCCAACTTTGCTCTCTCCTTTGTCAGTCTTGTCAAGCAGCTTCTTCACACTCAGGGAGTCCCAGGCTTGTCTGCCTAAGCAGTGAATTTTCTTTTTTTTTTTTTTCTTTTTTTTTTCTTTTTATTTTTATTTTTTCAACATTTATTTATTTTTGGGACAGAGAGAGACAGAGCATGAACGGGCGAGGGGCAGAGAGAGAGGGAGACACAGAATCGGAAACAGGCTCCAGGCTCTGAGCCATCAGCCCAGAGCCTGGCCAGGCTTCAACTCACGGACCGCGAGATCGTGACCTGGCTGAAGTCGGACGCTTAACCGACTGTGCCACCCAGGCGCCCCAACAGTGAATTTTCTAAACGAACTTCCAGAATTAAAGCCTTTTTCTTTTAACATTTTGTTTTGAAATTGTTATAGACTGACAGGAAGTTGCAAATATACTACATAGAGTCCCACAGTTTTTTCCAGTGATAGCATTTTATATAACTGTAGTATTAATACCCAAACCAGGAAATTGGCATTGGTACAGTGCTACTAACTAGAATACAGTTTCCACAATTTTTTACATGCATTCCTTCCTCTGTGCATGTGTGTGTGTGTGTGTGTGTGTGTGTGTGTGTATTTCTATGCAATTTTATCCCGTGTATACCAGAGTTGAGTTTTGCTCTAACCTGAACCATTTGCCCATGATGGAACAGGTCACTGTGGTCAAGGGGTGGGTTACACTGATTGGCCAAGCCAGGTCATGTGCCTGCTTTTATTTGAACTAACAAAGGGTTAACCTCAGCCAAACTGCAGGGCCGAGAGCGGGAAAGGGGGTTCCTCAGGGAAACCCGTTCCAGAAGGAGGAATGGGTGCCCGACAGGCAGAGATCACTGGCCTGTGCTCAGGTTCTCTGGGTCCAGGCCATGGGCGAGGGACCCACAGGCACTGTGGGCTTGAAGGAGCCTGTGGGAGTAGCCACATGCCCCAGCCTGCCCTGGACCCCAGACTCCCCACCCGTGAGTGACCTGGAGCAGCCCTGGGGTCTCCTGACTCAGCCTGGGGCCCTCTGACTGCCCTTTTCCACGTGCCTCTCTGCCTCTGTCACCATGCGGGCCTGGGCTGCAGCCCCCAGCAGCCCCACTCCCTCCGTCTCAGAGCAAGCCGTGAGTGTGAGCGGTGCCACCCCTGTCCCCAACCAAGCCCCCGCCTGGGACGCAGCCCCCATCCCCAACAAGCTGAGCATGACCTGCCAGCTGGCCGCGCCGCTGGACCCTGTGAGCCCGGCTTGGAGCGCCAGAAGGAATCGTCACCAACTCTCGAGGGTGGGCCCTGGCGTCTCAGGTGAGATGCACATTATGCCTCATGCTCCTGTCCAGGCAGCCCTGGGCTCTCATCCCTCCAGTGAGAGCCCTGGGGATCTGTTTGCTAGGAATTCAGAGTGTGAACTCCACGGACAGGGAGTGAGCCTCCGGCCCTCTCCGGGCCTCATTCTCCCTACGACGTCCCAGCCTCCTGCACCCGTGCCCAGTCCCGCAGTCCATCTACTCACTCAACCAAATGCACGCAAGGCTGGCTCCGGCCTACTGTGCTAGCCTGAGGTCACAGCCAGAGAGGAGGGGGGTGGCAACAGTGAGCTGCGGGAAACTTCCAAAGCAGCCTGGAATAAGTGGCAGTCAGAGACAGCTTCCTCAGAAGGAAAGGCCCGGGGAAGTTTTGAAGGAAGAGTAGGGAAAGGCATTGAGAGCAGAGGGAAGAGCAGGGGCAAAGTCCGGGAGGTGTGGAAAAGCAGAATGCGCTCAGGGAATTGCAAGGAATGCAGTTTGGCCAGAGCGTTGAGTCAAGGGATGAGGCCAGCAGGATCTGGACCCCACAGGACCCTGAGGGCCACGAGATGGCTTCTGCACCTGAACCGGACAGCATCCACACTCCAGCTGCTGGCAGGGGCGGAACAGAGGAGGTGGAATGGTGAGGCCGTGGTGCCCCACGGGAGCTGCGTCCTCTTGCAGCCTCTCATTGGCCCTTCTCACCCCAGGTTCTATCGGCAGCGGTTCAAGTCAGAAGATGCCCCCAAGGTCCACGTGGCCCTGAGCATTAGCTTGTTTCTCCTGAATCTAGCCTTCTTCATCAATGTGGGGCATGGCCGTGAGCCGTCAGATGCCACCTGCTGGGCCCGGGGGGCCATCTTCCACTATTTCCTACTCTGTACCTTTACCTGGATGGGCCTGGAAGCCTTCCACCTCTATCTGCTCGTCATCAAGGTCTTCAACACCTACTTTGGGCACTATTTCCTGAAGCTGAGCCTCGTGGGCTGGGGTAGGTGCAGCTCAGACAGGCAGTGAGCATGGCTGGCCCTGGGAGGGGGACAGGAGGGAGAGCCGCCTAGGGCAGAGAAGGGGCTCCCTCTGTTGTACAGGCTCAGGACCTGGGGGATGGGCCGCTGGAGGGGATTTGGGAGGAGGACATGCCAAGGGAGCCCAGCAGTGCCGCAGCCCCTCCTGTTGTGCACAGGCCTGCCTGCCCTAATCGTCATTGGCACCGGGAGCGCCAACAGCTATGGCCACTATGCCATCCGCGACAAGAAGAACATGGCCACGCTGGAGCTGTGAGTGGTGGCTGTGGGAGCAGGGGTGACGTCAGGTCCCTGGCTGCACATATCTGGGCCAGAGGGATGTGGGGACAGGAGGGAATCCTGGGAAGAGAGACTGAGTAAGTCAAGGCAAAGGATCCTCCAGCTAGCTCATGGCCTGGAGTGGTAAACTGAGGACTGGATGGAGAAAGCTCAATGCGACAGAGGGTCTGAAATGGAGGAAAGTGAGCGGAGGCAGGATGCCTTGCTCCAGCCTGGGCCACCACCGGCCCATATGGTACCTTTGGGCAAATTTAAAAAGGTGCTCTGCCAACCTGTCATGCCAGGGGCTCAGCCCCACCTGCCCCCTCAGCCAGCTGCCCTTGTGCAGGATACAACCTGCCCAACATTGGTGACAGCCCTGGTTCTCTCTGGGCTCTGCCTCTGAATTGCTGTGTGGCCTAGCCTGGCCCCTCCCAGGGCCTCAATCTCCTCATCTGTACAATGAGGTGTGATGAACATATTCTTTCACACCTTTTGCCCTGCAGTGCGTGTTGCACGGGGCTGAGCTGAGCCTCCCCCAGAATGCCTTCCCTGGGCCCATGGCTCTGTGCTAAGAGAGGCTGGTGGGGCCTTGGTCTTGTTCCCAGGACCTCAAATGCAGGGGCCACAGGGGCTAGAGAGGTAACATAAGCACACGCGGTGGTCCAGGGGGAGACTGCAGTAGACTGGCAGTCACACACCCATCTATCGTCCCTCTGGAGGGCATCCACAGAGCTGCTGGGTGTCGTTTTACAAGAGAAGCAGAAATCTGGATGCTTACGCCAAGCCTCCCACTTTTTAAAGGGTGGTTGTTAATTCAATTGTTTAACAACATGATGTGGGGCAAATAAAACATGTCTTTGGGCCTAAATTTGCCCCTTTGCACTCGCTGGTCTAGGAAGAATTTTATTTTTATTATTTTTTTAATGTTTACTTTTGAGAGAGGGACAGAGCACAAGCAGGAGAGGGACAGAGAGAGAGGGAGACACAGAATCCGAAGCAGGTTCCGGGCTCTGAACTGTCAGCACCCACTATGGGGCTCAAACTCACAAACCGCGAGATCACGACCTGAGCCGAAGTCGGACGCTCAACCGGCTGAGCCACCCAGGTGCCTCTGCCCTCGCTGGCCTAAAGAGATGGCAGAGAGGAGCCTTTTGACAGCCCCTTCCCAGGAGAATAGGGGGTTGGTGGGTAGCAGTGGGTGAAGGAGTCTTCTTGAGCACAGAAGGTCAGTTAGGGAAGACTGCGTGGGGCTTGCTGGACAGGGCCACCTCTCCAATCCCAGGGGCCATCTACTGCCTCCAGGTGCTGGTTCCGTGAGAAGACCGCTGTCTCTGCCCTCTATGTCACCGTCCATGGCTACTTCCTTATCACCTGCCTCTTCAGCGCTGTGGTCCTGGGCCTGGTGGCCTGGAAGATCTTCACTCTGTCGACTGCCACAGCAGGCAAGGAGCAGGGACCGAACTGGAAGGGAGTGCTCACCGTGCTGGGCCTCTCGAGCCTGGTGGGTGTGACCTGGTGGCTGGCCATCCTCACGCCCCTGGGCCGATCCACCATCTATGTCTTCGCGCTGTTCAACTCCCTGCAAGGTGAGGCTTCCGGGCCAGGGCGGTGGCGGGTTGCCTCACCTGCAAGGGGGTGCTTTGGGGGCACGGGGAGGAGGCAGACGGCGAGAAACAGGATTCCACTCAGGCTGGCTCAAATCAAGGGCTCTCCCAGGACCCCAGGACGGGAAGGCTGACCGGCCTCGTGGGAACGGGTACCAGAGTCAGGAAAAGCCACCCAAACCAAAGCAGATACCACCTCCGTCTTTTTCTCTGGAGCTGCGTGTAGTCTCTCACCTTCTGTCTGTCCCTTCTGTCCTCTGTCCCTTCTGTCCCTTCCTACCCAGGCTCGCAGACGGCTTCTTCCACCCTCCGTGACCTCTGTCTAGGGAGGGTGCTCTGATTCAGTCCGGTCCGTGTTTTTAGGAGAGTCAAGGATCAGACTGAGCCATCTTGGTCCGGTCAGCTGTGACCTGTAGGGCAGGGTCACGTGATGTGATGGCCACATGACATGGACAGTCTGTAAGGAGTTGTGCTGGCAGAAGGAAGTGATTAGCAGAGGAAACGAAGGGTAGGTGTGCTCCTTGCTCCCCACCTCGTCCTCCCTCTGATTTCCCAGCAGAGGAGAAGGCACCCGGGGTGTGGGTGACGGTCCCCCCATCCTCCTCGCTCCTCACACTGTGCCATACACACAGCTTGGTAAATAATTAATGTATTTATTTTTGAGACAAAGAGCGAGAGAGTACAGGGGACGTGCAGAGAGGAGAGAGAGAGAATCCCAAGCAGACTCTGAGCTGTCAGCACAGAGCCCGACGCGGGGCTCGAACGCACAGACCACGAGATCGTGACTTGAGCAGAAGTCAGATGCTTAACCGACTGAGCCACCCAGGCGCCCCCATCTTATTTTTTAAAGTTTTTAAAATGTTTACTTATTTTTGAGGGAGAGAGTGAGGAGAGAGAGAGAACACAAGCAGTGGAGGGGCAGAGAGAGAGGGAGACCAAGGATCCGAAGTGGGCTCCACGCTGACAGCACAGAGCCCAACTCGGGGCTCGAACCCATGAACCGTGAGATCATGACCTGAGCCAAAGTCAGACGCTTGACTGACCGAGCCACCCAGGCATCTCACCAGACTTCATAATGAGTACCTGAGACAGTACTTGTGGGGGACACAGTAGGCCTTCGGTCTGTGCGGACTCTGTCAGCAACAGCAGGCTCTCTGAGACGATCCCCGGGGGAAGAAACAGGAGCCCACATCTGGAACATCTGGGGCTGGGGAGGGACACACCTTGAAACTAGATTATATCATTATTCTTCTGGAGGTTGCTCTTAATATTTACGCCTGAACGCTTCACCCTACCGAGTTGTCTCAGCTGAGTGTGCGGGTCTCAGTCCATCTTTCTTCCTCCCAAACGCAACAGTCCCTATACTTCAGCTGCCCTTGAACGCTTCTCAATAGTTTATCGTGGTTAAAACTTGTGGTGTAAATTTCTTTTAAGCACACACAAAGTTTTAACTTTTCTATCAATGTCTGTACTTGCTACACTTCTGATAGCTCCCACCTTCCCCCTTCTTCTGGCTGGGGTGCATCCTGTAATCATCCTTCGTGGAGGGGGGTAAAGGAAGGTCACTATAGTGGTGGCTGTTCTGTATGTCTGAAAATGCCTTTATCCTGCTCTTTCTTTTCTGTGATAGATGTACGCATACGTGATTTCATGGCCTCCGTTTTTCATTTCCAAGATTTCCATTTGGTTCTCTTTCAGGGGTTGGCTTCATTTTTGCCTGATTTTTCCATACGTTCTTGAGCTTTTGCAGTGGAGAGATTTCTCCTCCGGACGGCCGTCAGCCAGGCTGCCCAGCGCCCTGCCGGTCCGACCCCAAGCTCATCCAGTCCTTCTCCTTCCTGACAGGTGTCTTCATCTTCTGCTGGTTCGCCGTGCTCTACTTCCCCAGCCGGACTGCCGTGGCCTCCTCTTCTGGCACCGCCAGAATTGACCAGGTCCACACCGCGTCTCAAGAATAGGGGGCCTCCCTGGGGTCAGGCTGGGAGCCGGCCGCACATTGTGGACTCGGCTCTGACTCCCTGTGTGAACTCAGGCTGCTCCTTGCCTCCTTCTGGCCTTCAGTTTCTATGTTTGTACAATGTGGCTGGGGAAGGGAGGTGATGGGGGCCAGTTTGGAGCACCTGGCCTCAGTGGTTCCGTCCAGATACTTCTGTGGGTCCTAGAGTCCACAAATCCAGGATGGCGAGAGTCTGAAGACCGCTGCCAGCATAGAGCAGGTGCCCTCACCTGTACCTGTACCTGCACCTCCTGCCTACCGAGCAAAACAGCTCATCTCTGCCATTGGCCACCTCTGGTTTTAGTCACAGGGGACTCTGTTATCAGAATTGCACCTTGAAGGAGTCCCAGCCTCTCCTCTTCTCCCTCTTACCACCACCCTCTCACAACCCCACCCTCTGGCTGCCTGTTTTCAGGCACTTGGACAGTTGTGCACTAGAGGTTTGGGTCTATCTATGGATAGATAAGCAGGAGCCCCTGCCACCGGGGGCCGCCCACCCTCCAGCTGTCTGGGGACACCGAATTTCAGAGAAGGCCACTTACTCAATAGTGGGTGTGATACCATAAGCAGGCTCCCCTCCCCACCCTGACCGCCACACGTGTGGCCTGACCTCTGATCTGCTGTCATAGTGGGGTGGAAGGCAGATGGTCCAGAGCTCCGCACACCTGAGGGCCGAGGGGCAGGGCAGGGGAGAGGGCTGGGCTGAGCAGAGAGAGGGCAGGCATTGCCCCCAGAACCCGAGCTCCTATCAAGCAGGTCCACCAGCCTCATTCACCGGTTCAGCCCAGCCCGAGCCTGGCACGTTTTCAGGCCCCAAATAAATATCTGTTGTCTGAATAGATGGATGTATGAGTTTGGCATCAGCCTGCATGGTTCGGAGCCAGGGGAGTGTCTCAGGCCAGGCCCGGCTTGGGTACATCACCTCCAGTGGCTGGGCCTCCATTTCGCAACTGTTGCTGGTTTCCTCAGTAGGAAACAAAAGAGGCAGAGATAAGAGAGAGAGAGAAAGCCAGCTAGAGAGAGGGAATTAACAGATAAACCAACACAAAGAAAGAAAAGAGTGGAGGGGACAGAAAGACAGCAGCCCCCTGGCCCGCCCCACTGCCCACGATCACGCCCCAAGTCTAGCCTTGAGTTCCGAACCACTGGGGACATCTCACCTTCCCTACTCACCCCCACCCTCCCCAGTGGGCTTGGCCAAGGTCAAGCACCTGCTGTAGGTGAGAAGCTATTGTTATCAGACCGTCCCCCACAGCCTCTGGGCCGCCAGCCATCTCCTGCTCCCCGATGACTATGTTGAGTGGACGCCCTCCCTTCTCCCTCCTCCCGCCCAACAAACAGATGAAAGACAGGAAGGCAGGGGCCCTCGCTTTATGCAAGTCGCTGTGTTCCTGGAAGGGAAATTCTAGGGTGTGGACCTTGCATCAGCCGGGCCACAGTATATCAGTTTTTGTGGACAAACTTGGTGGGTCTGGGGACTTACTTTCTTTCACTGACACCAATTTCTCACGCTGAAGGTCGTGGCCCTCTTACCTCAAAGTCTCAGAGTTTCTGAGGGCAAACCTTTGTATTCCACGGCTGCTTCATTGTCTGACAGGCCTGCCTCTGCCACTTAGGGGCTGTGTGATGTTGGGTGTGTCGCCTCACCTCTCTGAGCCTCAGGTGCCCCATCCATAGAACGGAAATCATCAAATTCTTGCCCCGACTTGAAAGCATTAAGTGAAGGGACAAAAGTAAAGTGCCGGGTACAGACACGGCAGGAATTAGAGACCCCTGAGGCTCACAGAAAGATCAGGTGGAACCCTTGTGTGAAACGGGAACCTTTGCGACCTGTGTGTAAAATAGGAGAGGTGTGAACCTTAAAAATCCCTTCCAGATTCCTTCTACAGCTCTGCCAAGTAGACCAGCCCTGTGTGGGGAGGAGAAAATGGAGGCCGGGAGACGTCTAGCAACCTGCCCAAGGCTATTCTCCAAGCTGGGCTGATGCAGAGCGAGGCTTCTCTGGGTTGCTGATGCTTCCTCCTAGAGCATTTCCTGGGTTCAAGAATTATTGCCTCAGTCCTGGTCCCTGAGTCTCAGCGGAAACCCCGGGCTCTGGCTTTCCCAGTCCGACGTGGGGGCAGCCAAACCATGAGTCCCAAACGTGCGGGGTTTCCTGGTGCAGCTGGAGAGGGAAGATGGGAAGACGTGGTCGATGGCAGGGATGTGTTTCTTTTCCAGCTGGCTGTCTACCCCAGGGCCAGGCAGGGGCAGGGGGGCCGGGGTCCGTCATTACTTGGGGTCACTGCAAAAGTGACTCTGAGTGTCCAGCTGAGCATGTACTAAGGCCAGGTGGAGTGATGGCCAAAAGGCACCCCAAGGCCCGGTGAGGATGGATGGGGTTCCACTATCACCACGCGATCCAGTAGCAAACTAGGAGGTAGACAGCACCATGATTAAAAGCACAAAGTCTGAGGTCAGCCTGTCTGGACTAAATTCTTCCTCTGCAACTGGCCTTGGGCCAATTCCTCACCTACTGAACCCATAAAGCAGGGAGAGCAGTAATTGCCCCACGGAATGGATGAGGCTTCCAAGAGATATGGCGGAGAGCCCAGTGCCCGGACCCCCGGCCCAGCATGAAAGTGACTAAGCCAGAGCTTTGCTTGGGCCACGAGCTTCTCAGGCCCTGGGCTGCAGTGGCCATCTGTGTGCTGCAAGGAGGGTCCCCCAGCATGCCTCCATGGCTGGTTCTTCCTGTTCTGCTCCTGCTTCTTCATTCCTTGTATTTTTCATTACATTATAACAAATGTACAGGAAATAAGACATACTGGCTCTGTGCCAGATGGATAATTTAATATCGAAAGACAAAAGTTCCTCACAAATTAACCTATGAATACAATACAGTTCTAGTAGATTCCAAAGGATTGTTTAGACTTCCCAAAAATGTACTCTAAAATTCATTTGGAGGCATATAGGCCTCAAATAGCTAGTCACCCTTAGTGAAAGAGGGCATGGAAAGAAGACTTGGTAGAAAGCTATTACGAGGCCATCATGGTAAATCCAATGGGGTCTGAGCAGGGATAGGCATGAAGGCCAGTGGAAGAGAATGAAGGGCTCAGCAGCAGACTTATATACACCTGGGGGACTTAAGACACAATATTAGTGGCATCACCAGTAAGGGACAGATGGTGTGATGATGGTGTTGGAAAACTGGCTTATTATATGAAGAAAAATAAAACGGGATCCATATCTAATTCTTCATCCAGAGATGGGCTCCAGGCAGAGTAAAGGTTCTAAACAAAATGGCAAAACTATAAAGTTAATGCAGTAAAATAGCTTTGTGACCTCAGGACAAGGAAGGACTTCTCAAACAAAAAACGATAAGCACGAAACGTCAGACCAAAAACCTGGTGAGTTTAAGTACATCAAAATTATGGAGTTTTTTTGTTGTTGTTCCATGGAAGACACCATAGGCGATGTTAGCCAGCATGGGACAGAATAGGGCGAGGTATTTGCAATATCTGAAGCCAGAGATTAACATCTGGAAGGCCTGCAAATCAAAGCAAGGATACTTCCCTAATACAGAAAAATGGGCTGAGGTTTTATAAGGCAATTTCAGAGAAGACAATATCTAAAAGTGTGAATTTAGCATGTGAAGACACATTTAAAGTCATCAGTGACCACAAACATTAAAAAAATTTTTTAATGTTTATTTTTTTGAGAGGGAGAGAGAGAGAGAGAGAGAGACAGAGCACGAGTGGGGGAGGGGCAGAGAGAGCGGGAGACACAGAATCGGAGCAGGCTCCAGGCTCTGAGCTGTCAGCACAGAGCCCAATGCGGGGCTTGAACCCATAAACCAAGAGATCATGACCTGAGCTGAAGTCGGATGCTCAACCGACTGAGCCACCCAGGTGCCCCCCCCCCAAATTTTTTTTTTTTTAAAAAGGGGCTCCTGGGTGGCTCAGGCGGTTGGCGTCCGATTTCAGCTCAGGTCATGAGCTCTCACAGTTCATGAGTTCAAGCCCCGGGGCAGGCTCTGTGCTGACAGCTCAGACCGTGAGCCTGCTTCAGATTCTGTATGTGTGTGTGTCTCTCTCTCTGCCCTTGCCCTGCTCACCCTCTCTCTCTCTCTCTCTTTCTCTCAAAAATAAAATTTAAAACAAATTTTAAAGTCATGAGTGATCACAGAGTTGCACATTAAGATGACAGAGGGACCTCATTGTATCCCTATTAAACTGGAGGACGCATGATAGGAAGCTGGATACTATGGATGCTGGCTTCCTGGGGCATTGTGGAGGTTGTGTAGGGTGTAGGTTTCATGGCCTGGAGTAAATGGGGTGCTGCTGCTCATTATCCAGCAATCCTGCTCCTGGTTATTGACCCCAGAGGAACACTCTTACATGCCTAGAAGGGACACGACCGAGGACGGGTGTGTGGCATTATTTATGGCATTATTTGTAGTGGAAAGGAGCTGGTGGCAAAGGGGAGGTAGGGTCCATCACAGGGAGAATAGAATGAATCCCTACAGCAGACACACAACCACATGGATGGATCTAAAAACGCAGTTTTTAGCAATAATGTAAGAAACACGAGGTAGTAACACCGTATCACTTACGTGAGTTAAAAACAACAACGTGCAAAAGAATGCTCATTTTGAAACAAAAAAAATGTATCAGAATGGCTGCCTATAAAGGTCAGAGAATGGGGTGGGGCGCCTGGGTGGCTCAGTCAGTTACGTTTCTGACGCTTGATTTTCAGCTCAGGTCATGATCCCACAGTTCATTATTGAGCTCTGCATCAGGCTCTCTGCTTGGGATTCTCCCTCTCCCCCTCTCTCTCCCCCTCCCTCCCTCAAAATAAATGAATAAACTTTAAAAAAAAAAAAAGAATCAGATAATTGGAGTGGGTATGAGGATAAAAAGGAATAAAGAAATATACAAAAGAAATGAGACTAGCCTGACACACCCTGTGTTTACCTTTCTCTCCTCCCTGCCTGCCCTCGCCCCAGGCGGATTCCTCAGGGGTAATTGCAGGGCACACGGTCGGTCCCACGACAGTTTAATTTATCCTTCACACTTTATTTTTCGTGACTGCATAATATTCCAGCCAGAATTTAAAATCATGATTTATTATTGAGAATTGAGGTTATTGCTATGTTTCCCCCAGTAGCAGCAACTGTGTAAACTTGTCAGGACAGTGTTTCTCCAGAAGTGGCCCCCCACACCCCACAGGGTGCTTTACAACTTTTGTGGGCTCCTTCCTCCAATAACAAAAGAGTAAAAATATATTTTTTTTACCTCATCGGTACAAAGACGAATACAATCCAGAGTGGACTCATAATTATATACTTATTATTAGTCTGTTCATTTTTTTTTCTGAATTTGAAAGCAATTAGAATTAATTTTTATAGACCACTAACCTTCTGGATAAGTTTTCCCTGTCCCATGAGTTAGACACTAAGCAGAGGCCCAGGGTGGACTAGAACCCAGGCCTCAGCTAGGCAGGCTGGTTCTGTGGTGTAAGTAACCCCATGGCCAATTTTAAGCTGTTGATATGACATCACTGAAGAGAAGCTGGGAAGAGATACAGAGGAGCTCACCATTGCCTATTTCCATTATAGAGATACAATAGTAGTAAACAACTCCAAGAACATACATGCTAGAGAAAGGTAGTAAAATAATTAACAAGTGATGAATTTTGAGTATTAATTACATTTGCTTTAATATAACCTATTTATTTACAAGTTTTTCTAATTTAATGTGTAATCGTGGCTGTTTGTCAAAGGGCTTGCAAACATTTCTGAAATTTTAACAATCAGCTCTTGCAAACTGGCACGAACTGGCTCCAGCCTGTCGCTCGCTGAGGGACCTATAGCAGGTGGTCTTCCGGACCGAGGCCGGGACAGTGACAGACTACATTTCCCAGAGGCCTCCTCTCCCAGAACCTGTCCTCAGCTTCCGAAAGCTGTTACCATGGAGATGGGCTAACAGATGGTGCGGGCTGTTCTCAGAGGGGTGAGGAGGGAGCCCAGGACCTGAGGTAGCTGGTGGCAGGGTAAGAAGTAGGGTGGTGGTGGGAGGGGGCTTTTTCTGCTTGGGGGGCTTCCAGCCCTGATCTTTCTGGGGAAGGGGTGTGTGTGTGTGTGTGTGTGTGTGTGTGTGTGTGTAGGCTGCTGCCAGGGACGGGTGCAGAAAAGGGCCTGCGTGGGTTGGGGAGGGCCTCTGGGCAGGGACTGCCCTCCCCACACTGGGCTGTAGCTGAGGAGGCAGTCTGGTTTGGGGAGTATTTAGCTCAGCTCCACCTCTGATAAACGTGTTCTGTGACCTTGGGCTCAGGGCCCATCTCAGTGCCTGTCACAGTTGTAACCCTCTGCAGCCCACAGACACCTTGGCCTTATCCCCATTTCTATCTTTACTTACCTCTCCCACTCCCCCCGCCTCATCCCTTCTAGAACTTTCCCATCTCAGTAGGCCCTTAAGTGCCTGGCTTTCAAAGCCAGAAATATATGGCTTCTAACCCCAGATCTGCTACTTACTAGCTCTGTGACCTTAGGCACTGCACTTAACCTCTCTAGGACTCAATTTTTTCATCTGCAAAGTGGGTACCATAGCACTGTCTGCTTCTTAGAGTCCGTAATGGAAAAACTCAATTCAGTGTCCTATCTCCTGTGTGTCTCTCCTTTACTACTCACATGGGACACTTCACCCCTGACACTTCTGGTCACCAAATGTGTGACTCACCAAGCAATTCTCTGTGAGCTGGGTGTCCTACAACGTAACTCAATTCTGACACTATCTACCTGGAGATAGAATCAGACCCCACAGATTCAGGGCTAAGTCCCACAAGATGGCCCGTCCACCTCAGACACCGATCTCAAGTAGTAGGTCCCTAGGTTTACCCACAACTTCTGTCTTCCTTGGTTACAAATTGGAGGTTGGTGCCCATGACGCCTTCCTCAGGTTTGATTAATTTGCTCAAATGGCTCACAGAACTCAGGGAAACACTTACTTGCATTCATCAGTTTATTGAAGGATCCAAAAAGGATACAGATGAGTAGCTAGATGAAGAGGTAATAGGGTGAGGTCCGGAAGGGACCTAGGCACAGGAGCTTCCGTCCCTGTGGGGGTGGCGGTGTCATATAGGTGGATAGGTTCACCCACCTGGCAACTCTCCAAACCCCCCTCCGGCTGGTATTTTATGGAGGCTTCCTCATTTAGCACCATCAATTATTAACTTCATTTCCAAACCGCTCTCCTCTCTTTAGAGAAGTGGGGGGTCGTGGGGCTGAAGATTCCGAGCTTCTAAGCATAGCATGGCAACCAGCCCCATCCACAGCCCACCCGGAGTCCCCTCGTCAGAACAAAAGATGCTCCCTGTGCTCTCATCACTCAGGAAATTCCAAGCGTTTCTGGAGCTCTGTGCCAGGAACTGAGGCACAGACCAATACATATTTTCTGGGATCTCACTGACTCATTGCAGGATGTGTGGGATTATCTCTGGGAAGCCCTTAGCACGGTGCCTGGCACACAGTAGGTATCGGGTACACAGTAAGCACCCAGTGATGGTTATTACTGTCCTCCCTGTGGAGGAATACTCTCTGCGCCCAAGGGGCAGACAAACAGATCTGAGCATTGGGCTGTGCTGCGGGGCTGGCAGGCACAGTGGGAGGTTTGCCTGCAGAGAACTGGGGTCCTGAATGAGCCTGCTAGACACAGGCCTCCACCGTGATGTCGGCCACCTGGGCCTCAAGTGGGCTGACCTCCAGTAACAGGTGCATTACTGGGTCCTGAGTCCTACAGAATGTCAGCATGGGACAGAAAACATCTGTCTCTCCTTTCATGTTGCAGAAGGGGAAAACGAGGCCTAGAAACGGGCAGGGAGTGGCCCAAGGCCCCAGCAGAAACTGATGGCACAGCCAAGTTCTCCGTTTAGCCAGGCTGGGGGTCACTTTGCCTCCCCAAGAAGCTGAGGCTCCAGATAGGGATAGGAGTGGGGAGGTGGGCCCAGCCTTTACCTCCTGGTCCCTTTTGCCCCCCCCCCGGATCCTGGCTCCACCCAAATCTGGGGAGACCCTGCTCTTTTCTCGCCTGTTCCCACTCCACCACACCCTGGGCATTGGGTTGGTTTCCCCTCCCCTCTGGACCTTTGCCCTGTGTGCCATAAAGAAACGGGACATTTGAGGTAGAGCACTGCAAATACCAAAGACTGGAGATGGAGTCAGGAGGCAGGAGGCCATTGGATCAGCTGGGCTGGTGTAATAGGAACCCGACACGGCCACTTCCATAAGCAGAGCCTGGATTTTCTCACATGACGGGAAGTCTGGAGGTGGCACTCAGGGCCGCCAGGGTTCCGTTTGGGACCCCAGATCCCCCCGTCTCTCCACTCTGCTGTCCTTAGCAGGCAGCTTTGGTCCTCGTGTGTGGTCATCTCACAATCAGGCATTGGCTGTCCCACCTCCTGCTTTATGCAGGAAGAAGAGAAGGGCAAACAGTCCGTGCCATCTGGGCCCTGCACTTTACCATCCGACAACTTGGTCTCACATCTCAGTGGCCAGAACCAGGTTCACATCGCCGAGGCCACCCCCAGCTGCAAGTGAGGCCGGGAACTGAACATTTCAAACCAAGCACATTGCTGCCACCAGTGAAACTGGGGTTCTGCCATATATGGAAGAGGGGACTGGATCTTTGGGGAGGCAACTAGTGGTCCACTACAGTGAGGCTTTGCCTTGTGGCTGCGGGTAAGGGCTTCCCTGGGGCACATGAGCACAAATGTCATCTCATTGTGGCTCCCCAAAAGACCTCCATCCTGTGGGCTGACAAAGGGCTTGGCCCGGAGAGTACAGGCTATGTCACACCCCACACACCTGCCCCCTGGCCAGGTGCCCTGCCCTTGCCTTCTCTGTGCCTCAGCTCCGAATTTGGTGATGTTACTTTTTTTTCCTTCCTTCTTTCTCCTTTCATCATATTCCATATCACCTTACTGTTATGAATAATTTTCCAATTCACTTGTCCGACTTAATAAGTATATCTTAATAGGAAACTTCATAATACCATTGTAACCCCTATGGTATTAGTGTTGCTTGCCATAAAGAGAAGGTACTTTCAGAAGAAAGAAAGAAAGAAAGAAAGAAAGAAAGAAAGAAAGAAAGAAAGAAGAAAGGGAAGGAAGGAAGGAAGGAAGGAAGGAAGGAAGGAAGGAAGGAAGGAAGGAAGAAAAAAGAAAAGGAAGGAAGGAAGGGAGAGAGAAAGAAAGAATGGAGGGAGGAGGGAAGGAGGGATGGAGGGAAGGTTGGCAAGCAGCATTAGTAAGTTTGGACCAGGACCTACTCTGGCCTTGACAATAGCTTTCAACCTGTGGCCTGCTGTGTCTTTGTTTTTAACAGAGGTCTGCACATGTCAGAAAGGTGTTACAGGCATGCCAGCACCAAGCAAGACTCTCCCCAATAGAAGTTTAAGAGGGGCTAGCTTGTCCCCCCTCTAAACCACCTCCCAGAGACACAGGTGGTCTTGGTGGCCGAAGTGGGCCATTCTGAGTGCATTTATCCCTCCCACAGACATTCCGCCTCTAGGCAGCCAGAGACGTGCCAGGATGGAGGTCCTGAAGGAGAAAGTGGAGGAGGAGGAGGAGGCCGAGCGGGAAGAGGCGGCCGTGCGGGCTGAGAGGGGCGAGAAGGTGGTGAGGCCGATGGAGGTGCGGAGGGAGGAAGCCCCCATGACACAGGAGATGCTCAGAGACCTGGAGAAGAAGCTGTCAGACATTGAGATGGCCATCCCGGAGAAGCTCTCGTGCGTGCCAGGGTGGGGGTTTCGGGCCTGGCGGCCCTGATGAGGGTCAGACCAGGGCTGGGTGAGAGAAGAGCCAGACAGAACGGTGGCCCTAGGGCTGGGAGGCAGGACCGGACATAGAGGGAGGCAGATATGAAGGAGGGCTCTGCTTTCAATCGGCCTGGTCCAAGTCCCCTCTCTGCCCCTCACTAGCCGTGTGACCCTGGGTGAGTCATTCAACCTCTCTGTGCCTCCGTTCCCGTTTCTATTTAAAAGTGCACAGGACGATGATGCTTCTAGGCAGCTGTGAGGATTAAATGAGGAAAGGATAGAGCCAATGGCAGCTAAGGTGGGTTGATGGTTCCCTGTGTGCCAGGCGTAGCCTCACACGGACTAATGCCACCCCTCTTATGGGCACAGGACCTTTACCAAGGACACTATCGACATCTCCAAGCTACCCCTCTCCTACCAAAGCAACACGCTCAAGGAGGAACACTTGCTGCAGGTGGCGGACAGCTTCTCCCGCCAGTACAGCCACCTGTGCCCAGACCGCGTGCCCCTCTTCCTGCACCCACTGAACGAGTGCGAAGTGCCCGTAAGGCCGGGTCGTGGAGGGTAGGGCAAGGGCTGGAGAGCAGAGGGTGGAGGGAGGTGGGTCAAAGCTCATGGGTCAGAGTTTATATCCGGGGATAGCATAAATCCAAATGCCAGCAGACCTCAGCAGGGTCGATGTGAATCACCCCTGGGGGCCTTTGGGGGCCTGGAGACCCCACGCCAGCTACGGGACAGCTAGACACCTGGTGCAGTCTCCAGCCCCGGACCCCAGCTCTGTCCAGGGAAGGGCAGAGAAATAAGATGAGATAGACTGGGACCCAAGCCCTGGCCTCCTTCTCTCCAGCCCTGTAACCCAAGCACGTCCTGAGTGTCTCTGGGCCTCAGTTTCCCCCATCTCTAGGTGGAATGGCATAGGATGAATGCAAAGGTTGCAAAACAGCAGCTCACAGGCTGATAGGGACCCACAGACTGTTTTATTTGGTCCACATGGTAATTTTTAACATTGGTATTAGCTGCCAGCATTTGAAACTCAGTGATTCCCATACGGGTCCCAGCTCCCGCTTCTCTTGATCTGGTAACCCCAGGTGTGCATTTCCCCTGGAGCAATCAGCGGGCCTGCTCAGGTGGGGCCATGTGACATCCTATGCTGGCGGGCCTTCCTCGAATCTACAGGGAGACCACGGAGGACTGGGCCATGGGCCCTGGGATGACAGCAGCCCCTCAAAGGGGTAGCACTAGCTCCCTCGCACTGGGTGGTGGTCAAGAGCCAGACGGGCCAGATCTGCTCCTGACTGTGAGCCTGAACAAGTCAGCTCACCTCCCAGAGCCTCAGTTTCCCCATCTGCCACTGGGCCTGACTTACAGGGTTGTTGGGGGATCGGGAGGTGGTGCCTGGTCTGGCAGCACTCAGCAGAGCACAAGCTTATTTGGCATCTGGGCTGGAGGGGCAGAGGCCTAGAGAGCCTCCCCACCCAGGGCTCTGGCTTGCTGGGAGTGCTGGCTTCCCCCCACCAACCCCCAGGTAGAAAGCCCTCTGGGGGCCTGTGGTCTCTCCCCTTGCAGAAGTTCGTGAGCACAACCATCCGACCCACACTGATGCCCTACCCTGAGCTCTACAACTGGGACAGCTGTGCCCAGTTCGTCTCAGACTTTCTCTCCATGGTGCCCCTGCCGGACCCCCTCAAGCCGGTAAGCCACCCCTGGCTGCATCCTTAGGCCCATGGGACCTAGGAGGGGAAGCCGGGGATATGGCGAAGGAGGCTCAGTGAGGCTCACACCACAGGCCATAGTGCATCTGGTCTGAGCCCCTCAGAGACCCCTCTAGGGTGGGGTGGGGAAATGGGCCCAGAGAGGGAGGGCCACTTGCCTGAGGTCACACAGCAAGCCTGGTCTCCTGGCTCCTACCTCTTTGCCTCCTTTGCCTCCTTCTGCCTTCAGAGTCTTCCTCTCACGACTTGAGGAGGTGAGAAAAGAAGAGAGGGGAGGGCCTTGCTGGTTGTGACCCCCAGCCTCATCTTTGGGATTCTGTCTAGCTCAATGTGTTTCCCACTGATCATGGAGGGAGACAGGGAGAGAGGGATAGATGCACAGGGAGAGGGGAGAAAGGCAAGATCCTTCGATCAGAAGAAGTGAGGACAACTTTGGATAAAACCGTAAAACGACCAATCAGAGAGCATTAGACCAGAAGCTTCTAACTAGTCCAGATGGTCTTTCCTATCAGGAAGTCCACAGCCACTTAAAATTATAGGCAAATGTGGATTGCAGTTTCTACACATGGTTCGAGGTTTCCATTCCATTCTTGGTAGGCTCTTCGGCCTGACAAAGGGGAGGAGCCTGGGGTGGGGAGGGGTCCCGCATGCGCATTGGCCCTAACACCAGGCTGCTGGCCTGTGGGAGGACAGGTAGGGGTGCAGCGGGGCGGCTGCGCTGACTAGCTCTCTGCGGCCAGCCCTCCCACCTGTACTCCCCGACCACGGTGCTCAAGTACCAGGAGGGGAACTGCTTCGACTTCAGCACGCTGCTCTGCTCCATGCTCCTCGGCGCTGGCTACGACGCCTACTGTGTCAACGGCTACGGCTCACAGGACATGTGTCAAATGGACTTGACGCGGGACGTGTGCCCACTCACCGTGAAGCACCAGGAGGTACGGGGGCTCGTGCTGCCCCGGGCATCCCGCTAGGCGTGTCATTGGTGACGCAGCGCGTCCCCTCCCTTCCTGCCCCTTCCCGGCCCCACAAGCAGCCCCCCGCTGCCCTGGACTTCATTCACGCTGCTGGTGTGTCTGTCCTGGTGTGTCTGTCCCGGTGTCTCAGCACACACAGCCCGGCTCCCCGAATCGCTGTCCTCCTTCCCTTGTCCTAACTCACTTCCAAGCGGCTGTTCCCCACCAGGTGAATTCTGTGACTGCCGCCGGCTTCCACCGGCTTCTAAAGTCAGTCTCTCCCAGATTTATCCTCCGTGTTTGATAAAAATCCCCTAGCCGTTTTCATGTAAGGAAAAAAACAGACAAGTGGGCATTTAGTTCGCTCTCCACCCCCCCTCCGCCCCACTATTTCCTCCCAATTCAAAAGACCCCTTTTTAACAGCAAAAAAAAATTGTCACCAACTCTCCAGCAGGTGGTGGGTGTGTTTTTATATCTGTTGACATGACAGCTCCCAACTGGCCAGAGGCTGCTGTGAACACAAGAGACGCTCTGAAATGAATTTAATTTTAGGATTCCAAAAGCATCTCTGCATTTTGGGAAATAGCCATGGTACAGACAGAAAATACTATTGGGGAACTGGATTGACTCCAGGGCTCTGTGATCAGAGTTAAGCCCCCGTGGGTGTCTGCAGCTCAGGACAGGGCATCGGGGGGCCTGGGGCCTCCAGCACTATGTGCATGTGCACCTGTGTCACACCTGAGCGAGCTCCCGGGGGCCCTGGGGCTGGTGCTCTGCTGGAGGGAGGCACCGGGTGAGAGTCTTGCTCTCGCAGGTCCACCTCCCCCAGGAAGATGGAGCGAAGGCCGCCTTACCTTCCGCTTGGCTTCCGCAGGCCTGGGAGCCCACACTCAGGCCTCTTACCCCAGCCAAAATGTTAATAATTAAAGTGATAGAATAGCTACTAGATGCAGAGAACTTTCGGGTTTACAAACCGCTTTCACGTCCGTTGATGGGGCTTCCCCTCACAACAGCGCTGTGTGGTGGGTGTTATCTCTCCTATTTCACAGACGAGTATGTAGAGATGAACAGAGAGATGGACTAACGTGGCCAAAGCCACACGGCTGGTGAACGGAGACAGGGGCTGAGGCCCCACCTGGCTGATGGGCAGCTGCGGAGACTGGCCATTTTCCCTCTTCACTGTGGCAGGCCCCCTCCGCAGCCTCTGCGGTGTTCTCCCCTCGACACTGTGCTGACCACCTGGCACACATTTGTACACGCGTGCGTGCACGCACACAGGCTTTCTTCTCCTTCCTAGCCCAGAAGAGTCTTTAGGTCAACACGAGACACCCTCCAATGCCAGAATCTGGGAAGTCCGACTCCTGACA